TCACAATCGTCGCCCTCCATTGTCAATTTAACATCTGCTTAAGAGACGTCTGTTAGATCGCCTTTGCTCATAATTATTAAATATTTGCATAAAATTATCACAAGTATGAGAACTCAAAATTTGTAATAAGTTTAAATTTTTTTTTTTCAAATTTGTTTAGTGATCCATTAAACGAGTATAATTACAAGGTTAGTTGAGTTTTGGATAAGCATTTAAAATGATATTTTTTATTTGCATAAGTTTACCTAATGTATATATGTACATATGCACATATATAATGTAATCAATGACTTATTAGATAAAAGAATACAGAAAAAATAGTAGCTCGAAAAGTTAAAATGTTTCATCCATTCGAATTTAGTACATAAAACTAACGGAAGAAATTTGTAGAAGGGTGACATGTGTTTAAATATTTCAATTGACGTCGTTTGATAAAGCAACCTTCAAGAATAAGGTTACGTAACAAGAATTAATAATTGTTTATTAATATTAATTTTGATCGGTTAGTTTGTAAGGAAGCTATATATGCTATAGTGGTCCGATTTGAACAATATGTTCAGAGATTGTAATATTATATTATAATCCATGCGAAATTAACATATCTTGTCAAATAAAAAGGTTTTGCATACAAGGACTTGATTTTGATCAAGCAGTTAGTTGTATAGGATATATTAAGTGGTGAGACCAATAAGCTGCTTCTGGGGAAGAAAAGAACGTGTGCATAATTTCAGTTCGATATCTCAAAAACTAAGGAACTAGTTCGCGTATATATAGGCAGACAGATAGGCTTAATGGGCTCAGCTCGTCAAGGTAACCTCATACTTAAATATATATTCTTTATAGAGTTAAAGACGTTTATTTCTGGATGTTACAAACTTCGTGGCAAACTTAATATACTTTTATGTTAAGGATATATTTAGCATATTTCGATTTGATACCAAAAATCTGTCCGATATAACTACTATAAGATATTTCAGTTCTGCTCTTTTAACGGTATCAATTACAAAATGGCAACTTCTTTCTTAGTTTGAAAACGTATGAATGATTTTTAATGTATCGATCTCTTCATATTTCTTTACAGACCTACAAGTCCTAAATTGGGTATAATCTAATAAAAATCTATTTTTGGGCACTGCCGAATTTGAACAACAGAATAATCTTTCCTAGAAGTGGAACTCAAATTTTCCTATTAAAATCAGCAAATTTTCACACAGTTTTCGTTCTTGAGATTATAGAAACCTTGAAACCATATAAACGAATTTCTTGTACTAAATCATAGACCAAATTTGGTACTTCTCTCCTTTCCTCGACATGGGGGTACTGATGTCGGAATGTATATAAATCTACTATATGTGGTCCAATTTTATTCATTTTCGAAACAAATTTTTTCCTATGCGTAGTAAAAAATACTTCTTCCCTGCAAGTATCGCTAAGTTGAAGATATTTAAAAGAAGTTTGCCGCTTAAGCGAAGAAACCCGTAAGCAATCATTAATTGTATGACTTAATAACATAAAAATTAACTAGTATCAGTATCCCCATTTCTCAACAAACTGTCATTAAAATTAAAATATATTGCGAGTAATTTATTATTTATGAATTTGGAGTAAGTATGCTCATGAAAGCGCATAGGAGAATACATGCGCCCATATACTCGTAAATGGGAAAAAATAATTAAATATTTTTCTTACATAACTTCTGATAAAACTCAGCATTTTTACAACCATTTTACAAGGTCTAAATATAAACCTAAAGCACATAAACGCCACTATGGTAAAAAAGAGCTAAAAAAAACAACAACAAAAACACCGCAACAAAATGAGCCCAGATCTGTTAAAAAGGGGTGTTGTTATCGGCTTTGCCGCCACTGGCGATATCTACCACTGTTGTTGTTGTTGCGCGTAATCGTAACTACCAGCCCATCAGCCAGCATGTACATATGCCTGTCGCCGAGACATCAAATTGGTGAACTAAATTGGGTGAATGTGTCAGTGTGTGAGCGACTGAGTGAGCTTGCAACAATTCACGGGAAGCATTGCTGCGGTGGCGCTTGCCGCACAATGAACACAAAGGAGTGATGAATGGAGGTAGCCAACTCGCCAAGACGGTGTGCCACCGAAATGCTGACGATGAGACTGCAGTCGCTGACGACGGATCACTGACGTTAATACTATGTACTTATATACATATGTTAGCATTTATTGTTGTTGTTTTTTGTATAATTATTTGAATGTTTATTTTTGTGCTACAGAAATACTTGCTGGTTGTATTTACAACAGCATTGCATTGGCGCTTGGTGTCGTTGGTGCCGCACCTAAGCACGACTTTGAAGGTTACATGCCGCCACCGCTGCCGTCACCACCATCCACATCACTATCCCCTCTTCACTGCCTCAGCACGTTGTGTGTTACAACATTTTTACAGCAACAACATGCGAGCTCAACGCTCCTTTTGCTCGAAAACGTGCGACCTACTCCACGGCTATGCGAGGGTGTGTGTGTGTGATGGGTACGCCGAAATGTTGGTGAATAAAATTTTTGCATGGAAGCGTTTTTTTGGCAGCAAAGCGCTGAGGAAGGCACACAAAATCAGTCAAAAATGCCGAAAATACTGAAAATTACCGCAGCGGTTGACCTGGCAAGCGGCACAGACACACATGCATATACACCCATAACAACATATACATAGAAGCAAAACCGTTTCTACTTAATGGAGAACTTAGAAGATGCCATCAATAAAACACCGTAAAATGTTGGAAAAGTGATATAGCAGCCAAGCTCGACGAAAAAAAACACTTCTGCAATGCTGCGACTCACACTGGGTAAGGCCTCCGTCAAGTTAGAGATCGGAGCATAAGAAGTGTCTTCTTCTATTTCATCTTTGGCCATTTCATGTGACTTGCTTGGTTCATTGGTTGCTAACTAAATTGGGAATCATAGCTGATATGCGACAAATGCTGCAGACTGGCAGGCAGTCCACCAGCTAACTCACGAGCAGCCATTCAATCCGCTATTGCGGGTATCCAACATTTATAATGGCATTAAAGAGTCATACGACGCTGTGCACATTCGTATGTACACACATTCGCGAATCGACACGGATGCAGCATTTTTTCATTATGTTAAACAGAGAATTGATGGCTGTGACCAACTAAGCACGAGTATTATATTTAGACGAGTCGTTACAAAAAACTTCAAAGCTGCTGCGATGGCTTAAAGAAACCCCACAACTACAAAAAAGTTGCTCAACTTTGCTCACCTTATCATTGTTGAAGCGATATTTTCTTGTTGTTCTACTATCTTTTGATGCTGACTTATTGGTTTTATTTTCATTTTTGTTGTTATTCTTGTTGTTAACATCATTGCGGTTAGTCCACAAATAGACACTTATGGTATGGATTTCTAATTTTAATTTTCTAATGGTACAAACGTCGCTTCTGCCGTAAATTATTAAAGTATCTATGTGCGCCAGCACCATCTGTATCGAAAACCCAGTGAACGTTGAATTCTTTACTCGTTAATCAAGACAGCATATGACATCATAGAAAGGACTTGAGTAGCTAATAACGAAGACACGATTTCCAGAAAAGCAAAGTAGCCGAATAGGCATTACAGTGGCGTCACTTTAGCTAATAGCGCTCCTAAAGAATAATAGAGCAACGTCACAAAGTATTGAAATACGGATCGAAACAAATTAAACACAAACTAGTTTATTTATAGTAGCGGTCAGTTTTGAGCGAGTTCTGACAATTTTACTATAGAAAATACATTTTATTTTCAAATGTTCGGGGAGTCTATTTTATCTAATGACATAAGGCTTTCAGTAAATGTATTTGAATCGTAAACAGCTTGCCTATATTAAATATGTATGAGTCAATTTCAGGTATGAAGCGCGGAGAGATCGGTTATGCTTTTCATAAGAAAGAAGTGAAGAGATCGGCAATAAGCTTTCCACGAAGTAAAAACAGTAGTTATAACTCAACTTACACATTTGGCTCCCTTTGGGCTCTGAACTCAAATATCGGCTCTTAGAAATGCCGACTCATAGAATTAAGTCCATAAGAGAAAATTTACTTAAGCCAGCAAGAATTGTACACGGCGAATTTATGATGAATTAGATAAATCTTATTTTTTAATACTTAAATGTACCTTATTTTGAAGACGAAAGATTTTAAAATTCATGAAGACATTTAATAAGTGGGGTCTACACAGAGTAGTTTGGGAAAAACTGTAAAACTGAATCAGTTTCACTTGAAGAGAAAAATTAGTTAATAAACATTTATGAACAGAGAATGCAGGTCCTTAAGGTACCAACTTCACATTTCTAACAAGGCATATTTAGAGATTTTAATGGTATATTTATTAGAGCCGGTTGATTTACAGAGTTCCAAAAAATACGGACAAATTGTGTATGCTGGAAATATTCTACGGTTCATTCTGAGCAATTTTTCCTAATGTATGTGTGGATCTAAAACTGGTTTCAAGCCAGCTTTTAGGGATTATAATATATGTATGTGCATATTATATTGATCCAATGTCGGAATCGTCCAGACCGAACAACTATGTCACATATCTCCCATACAACCGATTATCCAGATATTTTATTTTCCGGTATCCTGCCTTGTATTTAAAAAGCTAAGAGCACGTAATTTTTCAGAATAGTCTTCTAATATACTTTATGACAGCGAAAATAGAGAGTACGACAACAATGTATAACAAATACCTAATATTTTTTAATATTTCAAAAAACACTGTACAATATTTGAAGATAAAAATCAAATATTTTTCGAGTTGCACGTGATCTCCGACGGCGATAAGGTCCCCCCTACTTCTGCAGTGATTCCGGCCTACCTTTTCATCTCTGACATTGACAAAATAGCGGCGAATTTTACCCAAAATGTTGGTTGATTTGACTTGCCAAAATTCGATTTTTGATCAAATTAAAAAACTGGTAAATTTTTGTATGGAGAACTATATACAGAATATGCATAAAAACTGATAGTGATCGGATCATTTGCCTTCAAGTAATTAATTCAAATTTGAGAAATATACATAATTTTGCTAAAAACGCATTTAAAGATGAACTGATGGAGTTGATTGAACTGAAACTACACTTTAGAAGCTGCTACACTCAAATACTATTAAAGATGTCGATATAAAATTTAGTACATTACTTTTAAAGGTATAATCTATAGAAATATGAAAAACATCGTTAATTTTTTTACTTTTACAAGAGTTGTGCCCCTTAACTTTATTTAAATGGGATAGTATGAAAGAGACTTCTTCAAATCAGCCACAAGCCACCTCAGGAGGATTTATAGGTAAACCTTAAATAGTGGAATATAAAAATTTTGAATGTTTGATGGGTTACAGCCAGCAAGCAACATATACATTGCAAACAACACCAACAACTATACCGATGACAACAGTAACTATAACTACCCATTACGTGTGCATACATACTTATGTACAAAGATACGTGTAATCGGAGTAAATGGCAAATAAACAGTTGACATTTGGGAATCTCAAATTGGCCAGATATAATCGTATCGCATCAATTGGCCGACCGGATCCAATAGCAATCATTTACAGAATGAATAGAGTAGCATACCCATTACACACGAGTGTGCTTGTATGTGTTTGAGTGCAGACGAAGAAGCAGTGATACAACGATGAATCCATTCTTTTGGAGCGCCACGTGCCTGTCTCTATCTAATTGAATGCAAAATGTGATAAGTTCTTTTCACAAGTTATGCGTGTGTGTGTGTGTGTAAAATACAGGTATGCTTTTGTTCTGCATATACTCGGGTGATGGTAATCAAGGTCAACAAGTACTGCAACAAGTAAGAAAGGAGTTGTGTTGAGTTCAAACAAAATTTCATTCAGGGAAATATTTAGAACAAGGCACAGCTTTGATGACAAGCGTATGCTCATGTGCAAAACCATGCAAATTTAATTTTATTCAAGGTGACTTCGAGCCGGATTCAATGGTCTTTGCCTTTAAGGTATGTGTTATGTACGTGTTTACCTCTGATAACATAACCTCAAAACATTCATAAAAAATTTTTTGTTTGCCAAATTTTCTTTATATCACAATCGAACAAGTAAAAAAACTTATTCTAACATCAAGTCTTGGCGAATGACTAAAATGTTATTAAAATATATCTTCTAATAATATCTGTCTAAAGAATACATCAATGATATGTCCCAAAAAAGCTCGCAGCTCTATGGATGGCATGTTGAGAATATGGCGAGTTGTAGAATTTGCAGGTCTGAATTCGCTTTTATTCGCTTTTATTCGGCCATTATTTAAATAACACTTGTATTAACTCCTAAATCCAAAAGTTTTATGCTGTGATATTATAATTCGGTCATCATGAAACATAGTAAAGAGGTGAGAGTTCAATCAAGCACAAGCCCCAATGGAAGCCTCTATGATATATTTCTCTATTGTTTGAGTGCCGACCCTGTTTACTATACAAGACCCTTTAACTGGCATAAGCAGCTGTTATAATATCCCTTTAAAATCGAACAAATTATTATTATTTTTTGTTTCAATCTACTCCAATAGACGAAAATGAATTGATGTTTATACCCTAAACAGATTTTCAACATCCAGAAGGAAACGTCGGAGATGTTCGTCTATCTGACTGCATATATGCGAACTAGTTCCCTCAGTTTTTGAGATATCGATCTGAGATATATTTGAGAAAAGTATAATATGAATTTGTGAGAATGTAAGAATTTATTATTTATTTTAGATATATTTGTCAAGTATTCACCGAAGGAATAAGAATAATAATTTTATTTTTAAGGCCACTCTGAAGTGTAAACTTTTTGACAAAAACAACTTTGGGATTTTGTTAAAAATCTAAATTTTTACTAGTCGTTAGATCATTACCTGTATTAATAAATGGTATTATTATTTTTTATTTTATTTTGTTTTTCGAATATTTTTTTTTTTTGATTTTTGAAATTCTGTTAATGTACATTTTTATATATATTTATTAAACAAAATGCTTCAAAATGTTTCTTCAACGAAATTCACAAAAACTCGTTTGACGTGACTTGCAAGTGGATATGACCCTTTAATTTAAAAACATTTCTGACATGAGAAAAACGTAACACAAACTTAATAATCTATCAGAAATTGTTGAACACTTAGGGCAACTTTGAAATCTCCAATAACAGTTCAAACTTCTTATTGAATAGGGGGAGATGTACATATGGTCAAACACCTTCGTACTTATATAATGACCTATAGTATTAAACAGTCATACCTCAATAACATCTTCTTTCATGAAATATTAGTAGCGATTCTACAATATATTAACAGTTAATAAATTACATTTGTTACATGTACAGATTAGGAGATGGTACACTCCTTCTATAAAATTGTCAAACACCTTGTATTTACTAAAATAAATCATTACATATTTACTTTATATTATATATAAAAGTTAAACAAACTTTCATATATAAACGTATATGTATGTGCATACATATATTTTTATTCGAAAATGTTCTTATGAGGTTTTCTAATAAATCAAACGCAAACAACATTTCAAATACCTTCACACTGAAAAAAGGTTGTTAATACAAGTACAATAAAAAATGGTCAATGCTCATCAGCAAAAAAATAAATAAATTTCCAAACACTTACATACCTATGTGCATACCTAGACTGCATTAGGTTTTGTCTGTATTGAAAAGCTAATTTACCATTCAATTTATTAACATATTAATATATTCATAGTCATATGAATCAAGAATCGCAGTTAAATGCGCTATGGCCAGTAAACGCGCCAGCTTCGGAGGCGGTGAGCAACGTGAGGATATTATTTCGAGTGCAAATTATTGGGGTATTGAAGATGTATGCACATGTACAGTTATGTTCATATTAATAGCAGTGCTCCAATGCAAAAAACTGATATATTTACAATAGCAATGTCATATAAACTTGTGCTTTCAGGTTACGACGTAACATTATTAATTAGTTCGGGTTAGCTTAAAGTAAGCGTAATCCTATTTACGAGTACATTTTACGTTGATCGAGTTTTTGAGTTGTTTACTAAAATAGCACTTTCTTGAACTGTTCATTTGAGTTTACAGAGTGCCATTACTGTTAAGACACATTGAAAAAATGTAATTAAGGTAAAATATAATGGGCCGCGCCAAGCTCTACACCGAAGTATCAATAAATTTGCTTAAAACCCTCAATATTGCAAAGAAAAATGCAAGGATATACAAAACAAGTAAGGAAGGACAAAGTTCGGGCGAAACGGAACATTTCATACTCTGCAACTTGCAAAGGTCAAAGCCGGGGAAATTCATTCTAGTCTAGTTTACCCTAAAAGGTTAAATATGATATAATGTGTACATGTGAAAACGTCACCTAAGGATCGGAATTCATTTTAATATTAGGGATATAAGGTTCAGACCAAAGTCTAGACAAATTTTATTAATGTTCAGCGGTAAACCACATAAGTTTTATTAAAATATCACACATTTTGATCAACCTGAACGACTCAAAGTCAGGTGTAAAGTCGGAAATCATATAGGGTATATTGGGGACAGGATAATGATTGCTGAGCTATTTTCGAGAACATATTTTCAAGCAATTTTATAAATACACATATAACTCACACACTGATTAACATATTCGTCATCATTTTTTTTAGAAAAACGAAAATCATTATATTGTATATAGTATATGGGAGTGATGGTATATAGGGTATGATGCCAACCGGAATTTGAAAATTGTATATTAAGTATATGGGGTCTGAAAGATGGCCAATACATCAGACATTTTAACCATTTTTGCCATGTGGTTATCATGCCATATACTAATAAAATGTTCCCTAAGTTTCATTAAGGTACGTTTATCATTACTAGAATAGAATACTTGTATATCAAGTAAAGTCAGCCGATTGTTCAAAAATCGGGATATTAGTTGAATTTTATCCATTTTAGACACAAATATATATTGCTATTAGTAAAACACGCTATCTCGTTTTCACTAAGATGACTCACATAATGGCCGATATTTGTGGTATAAAGTAGACTGGTTCGAAAATCTTTGTAGTAGATATATGGCGGCTAAGAGAAGCCTTCATCCGATTCAACCCATTTTTGACATATCTACAGGCATATTGTTATCAGGCAAGCATTTGTTACGAATTTCAATAACATATCTTCCAGATTGACCAATATTTTCGATAAAATGTTCGCTGTAGGATCTGGGTACAACACAACATATTCGGTATTTATAGGCTTGAACCGGTGTGGTCCGATTTTGGCAAGTTTTGGTCATAAGGTGGCACCCCTCAAAGGTACTATTTGTCCGAACACATTGATGGATTTTTGATTTGTATACTGAAAAATGAAAGAATCAGATGGAATTTAAAATTGTGTTACATTGAAAGTAGACGTGGTTCTAGGCAAGATAACATTACAAACCAAATTTGGTCGATATCGGTCGAGTAAGTGGGTTTTCAACTAAATGTGAGCGGTGCCATGCCAATTTTCTTATTTTGAGTCCGGCTCCTATAAAGTCTTCCTTTCGTACCATCTCGAGTGTAAAATTCGATGTCTCTGGCGTATTTATTTATGGATTTATCGTTAACTGTTAACAGTTTTTAACAGAACCGTTATATGAGGAGTAGGCGGGGTTATCATCTAATTTTACCCATATTTACAGTGTTAGTAGAAGTACTAAAGAGATTTTTCTTGAGAGAAGTTAGTTATTGTGTCTTAAGTGGTTTAGGAGATATGAATTAAACCTCTCAGAGGGCGGGGCCTTGCTCATCTTTAGCCCACAGTAGCCCCTTGATACTGCCACCTACAAACTCGTCCTCCCTTTTTTTGCCAAGGAACAAGTGTACCAAGTTTCATTACGATATTTAAATTTTTTCAAGATACAGCTTGCACAGACAGACGGACAGACAGATTCAACCGGATTTCAACTCGTCTCGTCATTTGTATACCATATACATATACCCAATATCTATTTCGATTAGTTTTAGGAGAAACTGACCGAAAATTCATTGAATCAATTAGAATGCAACCAAATATTAGCTCTCAGAAAGGACGAGTTAAATCGTACATGAGTGTAAGGCCAATCAGAAGAAATTTTTAAGATCCCAATTTAAAAGTCAGCAGAGAAAGATGCCAGACTGAATAGCCTATATATATAATTTAGGGCATTATGGGCTAGCTCAAATGTATCCAACTAATAGAAGTTATGCTTCACTACACAAGGCAAAAATTTCGCAAAACTTGTCAAAACATATGAAAGATTGTGAAGGCTTTCTCTAGACACCACAATATTGGTCAAAGAGAGTGGACGGCTCTATTTCTGGATTTTAACCACATCAAAAATGTATAAGGAGATATTGAGCAACATGTTTTTAACAAAATACGGACTAATAAAAGCTCCTGATGGAACTTAGAACGACAATCAGTTGCGGAAAAAATACATGGGTTAACTGGACGCCATGCCGTGAACATGTGCCGCCTATATCCGGAACTAAGCATATTTGATTAATTATTAGTTTCACCTACTTGAGAAATCATTTTTACATTATCGAAAAAACATAAAGATACAATATACATATGTATAATAAAATATTTAGGAGTATCCGAAAACACATTGCATTAAAATTGAATTGTAATTATTTGTGAATACCTATTCTCTTTCACATTCCTAAGAAAGCAATACTATTTTTGTGAACATAACTGTTTTTTGGTTTTCGCCAGTGTCTATGCAGCGGAATGGAGCAGCACAAAGTCAAAGCAAATTATAACAACAACAATTTAGTTGCTGGACACTTTAAGAATTGAAGCCAAAAGAGCCCATCGTGGCTAAGACACATCTATGGTATGTACATATATTTGTAAGAGTTTGGTGTCAGGGGAATACTTCTGCAACACCAACAACAAGCCAGAACAGTGCTATGTAACAGACCAACTCAGTCAAAATGTGGAGATGTAACGGGAAAGAGCCACCACATTGAATTTCGCAGATCGAGTGCAATATACACGCAAGTCCGTTAACGAACAAACATATATGTACATACATATGTGTGTGTATGTGATTGCATGACTGTTTGTTCATGTTACTGAGCAGTTTGGGCCATTGTTATAGATGCGGCTTAAAGTCAGTACCTACAGAAGTGCATACATACAAGCATACAATTCTACAACAATAACAACAGCAATAACACTTATAACAAAGTCAAACAGCAGATATTCGTAACGAAGAGACGAGAGCATCATCACCGGCTTTTGGTGACTACCGCAGCCACCGACACCGCCACCACCACCACCGCAACTGCCGCAACAACTATTGCTGTAGCTTCTCCTCAACACCTTTGACCTATGCGATGTGCCGCACATTTGCCGCCAACTTCTCATATAAAAGACAAATGCAACGGCTCCAAGTGTCAGTACGAATTAAAAGCGTCTCGAGTACGAATACGGTTGGGCAATAAAATTTGTGAACGAACGAACATAGGGCATTCGTGAAATACACTAACCCTCGTAATACACTAACACTCTCACCACACTTGCTTAGAGACGAAGTAAGTGATCGCGAAAGGTGTGCAGCGACGAAGGATTCAACGATTCGGTGGAGTCAAGAAGGTTTTGAACAATAATTGTGCAACGGTCGCTTAAAGGATAACTAGTAAAGGAGTAAAAATGGAGATTTTGTCCGCCAGAGTGTCGTTTGTCGCGTTGCTTATGCTCGTTGCTTGTGTGCTGTTGGTGCAAGCACGACCACAGGCGCCAGAGCAACCAGAGCCGGTAAATTCTAAAACTCCCAGTATTTTTTTATTTTTGGTTCTAAAGAGTAGTAGTCCTGCTTGTGAGTAGCTCATGAACTACTCGTTATCGTGAAATGAAAAATCGTTAAATTAAACAAAAACTTAGTGGAAGTCGTTAAAAAAATGCAATGCAATTATTTTTGAAAGCGCAATCACAAAGTGAGTTATTTATTTTCTCATTCGCATTGTTTTGCGCAATAGCTGCGAAGTGTGAACGCCAGTTAATTTAGAAAAATTAGCCTGTCAACACTGATAAAAATGCAATCAAAGTAAATTGCTGTAGAACTGGTAGCGTTGCGCTTAATTACCAGCGCACAGACATAATAGAAGAGTTTGCCTCGGTGTCTATTGTATATTATATGTATTTATGTATGTAAATATTCAAGATTGTTCCGGCTTGAAGTCCGAAAAATACATTTCATTAATAAATTATTTAGGTATAAGCATTACACTGACCCAAATTCTGAATTAGAAAATGTTGGTGGGGTAATTTTATATAGAAAAGAAAAAATCAAAAATTTTATGTTATATTTTTTTTTTAATTTTAAAGAGAAAGCGTTCCTATATATTATATATGGTATAGTATACATAAATAATCAACCATTTTTCATAACTTTTTCAAATTTTCAAAAACGTGCTACCATTTTAGGAAATTTGTCTGGTAGTAAGGAAAAAATAATCGTATTTCTTTTATCAAAATTGTGACAACGGTAGCTTATAATGCATTAAAAAAATAATTAAATTATCGTTTCAAATCAAGTAGTTTTTATTTTTTAATCCCGAAAATATTAATTAAAAGTAATTTTCAAATTTCTAACCCCAAATACCGTAAAAAAATGGAATTTACATTTTTTCACATTTTTTAACCAGAACTTGTGCAATTCGCAAACCTGGATTGAAAATATAGCCTAATACTAGTAAGGACTAGTAAAAAGGGTTTAATTTTTTTTAACGAAAAAATTGGCATATACTATAGTGGTTTGATCTGAACAATCTGTTCGGAGATTGTAGCGTTACTCTGGGCAATAATCTGTGCCAAATTTAGTAAGATAGACAAGATTGTCAAATAGAAATGTTTTCCATACAAGGACTTGAGCGAGATCGGTCCGTTTATATGGCAGCTATATCCTATAGTTGTCCGATTTGAACCATTTATTCGGAGATTGTAGCGCTGCTTTGAATAATAATCTATGCCAAATTTCGTTAAGATATATGGTCAAATAAAAAGGTTTTCCAAAAAGGGATTTGAATTTGATCGATTAGTTTGTGTGGCGTCTATATATCATAGAGTGGTCCGATATTGGCGGTTCCGACAAATGAGCAGTTTTTGAGGAGAAAGGGAGTGTAGTTTTAGATCGATATACATTTATGTACTTCATAGGGTCTCCGAACTGTTCAGTATATAAAAAACATATTTATCATATCTAGTTTTAAATGTTAAAATGAGTCTAGTATAAAACCTATTAAACTCCTCTTTCTCTATTAATATATTAATTCTAAGTAATTATAGTTGTGATTGCTTAGTTATCGACTAGAGGAGGATTAGACAGCTATTTATTTCTCTAGCTTCTAATGTGACAGAAAGACTTCAGAAACAATCAAGAAATATATTGTTCTCCACAAAATGATACAAAATTCTGCAAATGGAAAAATGTTAGTTTCCCAATCGCATTCTAATACAGCTATCTAATGAGATTCTAATTGTAAATTACCATATAAATGCTGAACAATTCAAGTTAAAATCAAATGCAACTAACAATATTTATAATGTATTTTGGAATATTTAATTTATCTGACAAGTTTATTTATTTAACCCACAAATCACAGATAAAATTATTGTGTAGTTCCCTATTGTTGCCTTTGATCGGATCTATATACGGAACCGGTACCGAGCCGGATTTTTATACCACAACAACAACAACAATTAAATAGTTTGAATTAGTTGTCTAATTTTATTATCAAAAATTATTCAACTTTTGAGACTGGAACATTGAAGATGAACTATAAGTTTCTTCTATAATTTATGATGTGATCAGAGTTTCTTATAAATTATAGTCAATCAATAAAATAAAGAATTTACAGCTATTTATAAGTGAATGGGTTTGTTTTAAATAAGCAGATGAAATCAACTAATAATTATCGATCCTACGAATATGTTGTGCATCATAAAATTACAAAATTAAAGTCGTGTGTTTAAACTTAAAGATTTATATAATGTTAAATCGAAAACATGTGATTCACATATTTCAATTTATTCTTTTATACACTGAACAGGATATATTAAGTTTGCTACGAAGTTTGTAACTTCCAGAATCAAACATTGGAGACCTTAAAAAGTATACACATATATAAATGATCGGCGTGACGATCTAAGTCAATTTAGCCATTTCCGTCTGCCCGTCTGTATATACGCGAACTAGTCCCTCAGTTTTCGAAATATAGATCTAAAATTTTGCGATCGTCCTTTTCTCCCCAAGAAGCTGCACATTTGTTGGAACCGCCGATATCGGACCACTTTAGCCTGTAGCTGCCATACAAACTGAACGATCAAATAAAAGTTCTTGTATAAAAAACAGTTTTATTTAAGAAGATATCTTCACGAAATTTGGCATAGCATATTATCCAAGGCGACGCTACAATATCCGAATATAGGTATGTTCAGATCGGACCAATTTAGCATATAGCTGTCATACAAACTGACCAATCAAAATGAAGTGTTTGTATGAAAACTTTTTTATTTGTGAAGGGTATTTTAACTTCATTATAATCATATATATTCATTATTAATTCAGGTATTATCTACGCGACTACCAAGCGGAGCGCAGTTTTTTCAAATCCCAACTGAAACCATACATTTTAGAAAAATATTGGAAAAATAGAGATTTCAATTTATTTAGAAAGAGTTTAGTTTGAGTTATCCAAGTGTGAATAC